ATTTAAATTGAACGCTAAACTATGTTTAATTTTTTTTTTTCTTTTTCATAACAGATTTATAGACCCTATTTTAAAATTCGTTGGAATCGAATTTTCTAAATATTATTCATTTTAATTAGGTTGCAATTTTTTTAGCAATGTAGTGAAGCATTAGAGAGATGCTCTCATAGGCAACAAGGTTAAATCGAAACAAAATATAAGTTGAGTGATCATTTTGAAATTAATTAAGTTGGAGTGACTAATATGAAACAAACCATTAAATGAAGTGACCTCCAATGAAATTATAGCCTTTGCCGGTTGGCTCCTATCCGATGGCGATGATCTCACGCCTCGATGCAGAAGCATGTCAGCTGACTGACTCTGTATCCACCGCTCTCTCCTTCTCTTTCTTTCTGTGTGTAATACACACACACATATGATCTTCCTCTGTATATATGTGTGTTCTAACTCCCGTATTGACATACCAAAAATTCAGAAGGGGAAAAAGATGGTGTTGATGTTGGGATTAAGTGTGCAGTGCATGCTGGACTTCGTGGTTGCTGGAATTTCACTGATGATTGGATTAGGTTTATTTGCATTCATTGCTTCAATTCTTTGCTCTGCTGCTTTCTTCCAGAATGCCAAGGAAATTTCCTGATTTCAATTTCTGTAAGTACTCTCTCTTTTCATATAATTTGGTTGCTGTAATTTCAATGGTATTTTACTTTCTGGGTCTTGATTATCGTTAATTTTTGTTCTTTGTTCACGAGGGAATTTCTCAATCAACTAGTGTGGGATTTTATTTTTATTTTTTGGCAATATGGAATCTATAATATGAAGAAGCCTAATTTCTCTGTCTTTTGTTCTGAACCCCTATCCAAAACGTTTATTCATCTCTAATAGTATTTGGGACAATTTGGAAGGGATTTTAGCCAATTCTTAAGTAATAATAAGGCTATTTTGACAAGAAACTAAAGCATCGGATTTCCATGGCAACTTTGGAATAGGGGCAGTGTCCAACTGCGGCGGAATTGGCCTTGCCACCAATCAAATTCAGAACTTTATATGTTGTGAATATTGGAGGTAAAGTAGGCTGAACCCCAGTCTTAATAGTGAAGTTCCATGTTAAATTTGTCGTGTTATTTATATTTGTGATTGACTTCCACAACAACTTGGTTTAACCATGTTGGCAAAGCCTTAATGAACCCCAAGTAGTTATTCATGAAGTTCACTGAAGAAGTCACACTAGCAGTGCCCTCTCCGCAGGTCTAGATCAGGAAAGTTTATATGAGAGAACTGTTGCGACTACTATCAGCAAGGGGAGCCCCGACTAGTCAATTCTTAAGGAATTACTATAAGACAACGATAACTTGACAGCTTAACATATTATAGGTCATTATACAGAAAACGATAGAAAGAAAAGCAAGGAAGTAATACAAGAATAGAGGAATGATAGCAAAAGCAAACTTCTCTTTCCACTGGCAATAAGCCAATTGAACGGAAGATGTGTGTGGTGTCATGGTTCTAAGTTTTCTGGAAGCACGTAAATCACCTGATAAGTGCATAACAACAGCAGGTATGAAGATTGTGAATAATACCATTAGAAACGTAATTCCTTCTTGCTTATATTTTTACTATTTCTCGAGCTCGTGAATTTTCTTCTATTTTCTTTTTGCCAATGCCATTTGTGATTCATATTAATTAAATAAAATAATTTGTAGAAGTTAAATGATTCCTGGTCTCTATTTCGCAGGTTAAGCAGGTTGTTTCATAGAAGTTCAATAAGGATTCTCTTTCTTATCGCTCAGTGAATGCACATTTAATTGGAGACTTGTCGTTCTTGAACTGCAATAGAAGAATCATTTTTTTTTCAACTGCAATAGAAGAATGTATTTGATCATGTAGAAATCATTTTGCTGAAAAAGTTCCTCTGTACTGGAAATGTAGCGTGATCAAACTATGTTTAATTAGTGATACATTGACTTATATATTTCTTAAGATTGCATTCTGTATTGAAGAATGACTGAGTTTTCTTCTTAATTTGCGAAATAGACTGGCATTCTAGTTCATTTCTTCTTTTGCTATCAGTAGGAAGGATGTGTAATAGATTCAGCTTTAACAGTCAAAGTATTAACACTAAATTGACGAAAAAACGATTTTGTAACCATTTTACATCAAGTTGAATTGTTGATTTTTGGAATAATCACTTGGAACGCTGCATGAATGTTAATGTTAATGTGGAGGAAATAATCTCTAATAAGTAATTAAATCTTAATATATTATACTTTCTATGGTTTGAAAAAAGGGATTGGTTTCAAATCCGATGGGATGGAGACTGTATTAGGTAACTTACCTGCCTCAGACTCAAGCCCATGTAAGCTAGGAAAACTTTGAAGTGAACAAAGAATGGACACATATATTTCACGTTATTGAGACTATGAGATTACGAAAGGAAAAAAGATGTCATTTTGCTGTGTTAGCCCCTATTTGAGATGCATTATTCAGACAATAAAATGAAAAATCCTTTGAGCCGCAATGTTTGGCTTTTTATTCCACACCAATTCAATTTTTTTCAAACTAACAGTCACGTATTTTATTTTTCTTTGCTATTAATGCGCCTCAAACAGGTGCTTAATGTGAGTTCTGCTTTCCTGTTCACGGCATTCTCATGGCTCAGGTTGAAGTTTTTAGGTTCAATAAGCTTAGGACAGTCATGTTGGCACATGAGCTCATCACTACCAGGGTGGTCTGCACTTGTTGTTATGAGTTGACGCCTTGGAATGATTGGTGCTCAGTGGACTTGGGCAAAGGTGGAGTCATTTTGCAATGTTGGGTCAGTGGGGACCTACTTGTACCATGTCTGGTGCCCAAGTCATCATAGTTATGACATCTACCCCATATCTGTTATGTTGCAGCTCGCTGCCTGGGCGGTCCTTTTTTCATTAGGCCAGGTGCTTGTGGTTCTAATGAGCTCTTTTTTGGGGGTAACCTCAACAAGGTTGTGAACCTTTAGCATTTATCTCATTTCTGCACATAATCTACGCATCATTTCCATTGCCATCCAATGGAAGCTGCCCTCAGAAAGTTAGAGACAGTGAGCCAACTTGTTCTCTACAGACTACTTCATGGATCTCTTCAAGGACATAGTCTGCCTCCTATTCGTCCGCTCAGTAAATGCGGTGTTGAAAATTTTCTCTTGTATGAGACTCCGTCAACAAGAGATGTATTTGGGTGATCTGAGTTTTACCGTCTTTGCTTCATTGTTGTTCTGTTGACAACCATCTAAGTCAACTTATTGTTGTCTTTTCCAAGAACTCTGTCAGAATTATCTTCATGAGCTTGAAATACTTCATTGCAGCAATCATGTTAGGACATCACTCATAAGTATTGTTGCTTTGAGCTCATGGGATATGCTGGATCTTGTACCGTTTAAAACTTTTGATCTTATACCTCACCTTTTGGAGATCCGACATCATCCTTGCACCTAGAGCTCGATACTCCTCTCGTGGTTTACAATGCACGGGAATCGTTGTTGAATAGTAAGGGCTAACACCTTGATTTTCATGGCCAGCCTTAGACTAGCTAGAGGTGTTTCATACTCTTCTTCATCCTTTGAGACCTTATGGTTGAACTAAAGAGCGCAAGCCTTAGTGTCCTTCTTGGCTAACTGAGGTTATTCCTGCTCGGAATCATGCTCATTGGTTGATCCATCAATATATATGGTCTATCTCAGATTCTCAGCATCTTATTGCTGGGATTTTTAGAAAGTTATTGATAAAAGTGTCTAGTTTTAGGTATGTTTTGTTAAGTTTGACCATTTCTCCAATATTTTATCGACTGGTGCTAGTTTGTCATTATTAGGCTATTATTTGTTATATAACCTAGTTGCATGGAGTATAATTTTCACCAAACCTTCTAGCATCATTACTCTTATAACTTATAGCCTCGCATGAAATTGATAAATTCTGGAAGGTGTGACCGTTTTCTTGCAGTTCTATGAAGCATATAGTTGACTAATTGTTGCAAGACAAAAAATTGTGAAGCACTGAGGGATGCAGAAGCAGGAGTAATGACCAAATATCTTATATATCTTTACTGGATTTAACATATGACAAAATTCAAGGATCATATGGACTTGTCCTAGAGGAAAGGACCGTTAGCAATTAAAACTGCCGATGTATGGAAAGGAAGCATCCCAGGCTTGACGTTTATTAGTTTTCGGCAGTTGGTCTAGACCTGATGATTGGATTTGTATCTGAACACATGGAATATTTTTATGTTAGTAACATAGTAAGCCCAAGGTTTTGGAATTGTTTGCCGTACTTGTTAGATTTGCTAATTGCTAGTATATGTGGTTTTTAATGCTCTGAGGAATACATATTGCATGTAACACACTTCCTGAGTCTGTCCCTGTTTCCTTGTAGCCTGATGTTGCTGATAGTGAAGAATAATAGTCACAAGGGATCAAGATTTATGCCCTGCTCTCCATTTTCTGCTTCGCAGGCTTTTTTTTGTTTTTTTTGTTTTTTTTGAGGATAAACATCGATGGAACTCTTCCTTTTGTAAATTGAAATGACTTCTTAGTCGGGGATTGTTTCGATTAAAATGTGATGCAGTCTTTTTTTTCTGGTGTATTTCTGATTAAGTGCCAGCATTCTGAAATCAGTGGCATGTGGCATCACAAAAACTTTTCTTGATATTGCAGACTTGAATGAGATTAAATTACTGCATCTCGCTCTTTCGAATGAACACACACACGCGAGAGATATATAATCATTCAGATGCCTATGTATAGAAGTCAGCAAGTGATTTTCTGTCTAGTGGATAAGCAGGATATCACTTGATATTGTATTGAACTGGGAATCAAAAGCTACAACATATATATAAACTTCAGCATTCTGGAATACCTCAGAGGAACGGAACAGACATGATATGGTTCTTTGAGAACATCTGGTGAAAAAGTTCTCACATACTGCCCCCCTTGAAGACAACATTATTATTTTTTCTTCAATCTGCCAGGACTATTTGCCTTTGTGTCCTGGCTTGTCTTTTGCTGCTTTTATCTGCTCATCGCATGGTTTCTTCTCTTCGTGTTGGTGATGTTTCTTACCCAACCATTTTCTGTTATCTTTGTCCCCAGCATGACCAAAGACACCTGGACGGTGACTTCCTCGGTTGCATAGATGTTCTTGACGGCTTGGGCCGGAAGAGGCATCAGACGCCATAGAGTCATCACTATCAGTGTCTCCAGCATCATCTTTAGCATGAAACCCATCTTCTTGTTTATCAATGCTGCCACCGTCATCTTCATCATCATCATCAAGATTGTATTCGTCAATTGGTGAAGCAATGTACATTGTCCACCCCGACTCATTGCTGCTGCATTCTTCATTGCCTTCAATGATTTTAGAAGAATCCATTGTTGCTGAGGTACACAAATATGTAACAAATACTATATTTAACAAGGAAAAATATTCATCGGCTGTTGGACAATCCGCAATCTTGTTGACTAGAGGTAAATGCCTGCCATCTTATCTAATTGACTCTTTCAGGCACATAAAGCCATTATCATTGAAGAGAAAGTACTGCTTAGCTGTCTCTGCACAATAAATTCTCTGGTCCTTATTACCAAGAGGTACTTTACAGGTGAACTAATCTTAATTGTAAACAGATTTTAAGCCCTTTTTTAAATTTGAAAGATGCTTGCGCCTTGTTGCCTGGAAATTTCTCCTCCTTTACTTGCTCCTCTGTCTACTTCATAAATGTAAAGTAGTTTTTGTAATGGAAATACAGATGAGCGCACTCTACAAATGGCAAAGAATGTATAAGATTAATGATTTCAGATAGCTAGAAGACTCCCTCTTCAGTACTCTTTAAGAACTTTAATTCTGTCTTGTCATCAACTAAGAGCAGCCTTTCATGTGATTATGCAGTGAATCCAACTGTGTTTTTGGCATCTTGTATCCGGTTAAATTGGATGAGAATTGTCATATGGTTATTTTGCAACACAGCCCTTCTGTTATGTCCTTTTTGACTTTTGTCTTTGTCCTAGTAAAATTGGCATGCGTGTTTGTTGGGCGAGGGCCGGGGCAGGTGGGTGGGTCTTAAAGAATGGACGAGGAAGAGTAACTCTTCATTAACAACGACAAACTTTATGCTGTACAGAGTTCATAGTGATTTTGAAGCTTGAATTTTCTTACACGATGATAATCAGAATTTTTCAAGATTTACGATCACATTCTTGAATTTTGCGGTGGCTACACGCATTCTTGAATTGAAAATGTTGCATCCAGAAGTGATAGCAGGTGCTCGGATTGCACATTGCTCGAATGGTATTCTCTGATGGTTCCATACTGGAATTTTCTTACCTTGGCTTATTATCTGTTTGGATTATAAAAGAGAGGGCCACTTGCATTGTTCTTGCCTCTTGAAGTGTCTTACTCTTTTCTTGATTTGCATAAAGACTCCAACTTGGTTTTGGGCTCCATCTAAAACATAATTCTTGGAGTTTCCAAAATAATGGGACAACATTCCTTAGCTGGGGATTTGATTAAACTTATTGTCGATCTTCATTACATGTTACAAGAACTCAAATATGGCAGAAGAACATTATTGCCTGTACGACATTGACACTTGCCTTGATGTCTTTCCATGAATCTTGCCATTATCGCCTCGAGGTAGAAATGTAGGGTTGCATTAGATCCACGATAGTTTTTGACCGAAAAACTTATGTCTGCTCCCTTGAATAGTTAAATGTGCGTATTTACATGTGTGCAATGCAACATTTCTCCCATACTTTTTCTACGTTGTCATACAAATGAGAATGAGATTAATAAGGGTTTTTTTGAGCTTTGAATTAGGGGGAAAATAAAATAAAATAAAATAAAAAACCTCGTATCATCGACCTTAGTTTAATTCTTTAAAAATTATATTCAAATATAACTTAAACAATCTTGTTTCATGTACAGAAGCAGAAGCCACAGAAGATCAACAGAACACACATGGTGGGACTCGCGTATTTTTTTTTTATTAAACAAGGTGGGGCCCCCGTTGTTGTGAGTATTCCGGTGACTTTCTGTCAAAACCATTTCTGCACAAATGGTTTCATTGTAACTTAAAAGTAGTAGTAAATTTGTTTCACTTTTTAATGCTGTTCATTGTTCAATATTGAATTGTGACTGTAAAATCTTCATAATTAAATGCTTGAAAAGATGGCCTTTTTGACCATTAATTAATTAATTCTGCATTTATTGGGCACAGCTTTGCATTAAGAAGTCTATTTTCCCAATGCATTACAACAGTTTTGGTACTCGCCACTATAACAAGATTGATTTTAGAATTTCCTTTTTCGTTTCATTCTCTTTTTCAATATTTTTAGAATATGTTAGTGAAATTCCAAAATAATATTGCTTATAAATATTACCTCCGCCCCATTTACAAATCTTGACTTTCCTTATTTTCTCGTCTCAATTATATAGTCATGTTTCTTTATTGAGAATGTTTTATTTTATTCGTTTGCTAATATAACCTTATTTAATTTGTTTAGATATAATTTTTTTGTTAATGTAGGAACCCGCAGCTGTTACTCACCAGCGGAGTCTCGATCACCCCGAAGGGACGAAGGCCCGACCACTGTGAGTACGCACTGGTAAATCTCGCTCCATGTGCAATAGCCCGTAAACAACACAGGCGAGGTAAACCAGCACTAGACAAGCTTGGTGAGACGGGCTCAATCGAGAAAGTATTGACAGTGAATTCGAACTCGTGACCTTTGATCTCCGCGTTCACCTGCTTCACCAACTCGACCACCCCCGGAGGGATAGTTAGTTATAATTTACTACTACTAATTGTTGATAATTAAATACAGGTAAACTAGAAATATTTTTGTCAAAAATTACTTTATCGATAACCACATCTTGTTTAAGCCCCATTTTCTATTAAAATTAATTCTTGAACATTGATTTGACTTTATTTCAACCACACATTTTTAATAAAATAATATTATACGCTCTCCATCATAATACTATTACAAAATGCATTTCTTGAAAAAAAAAAAAAATAAGGCTCAAACAAGTCCTAAATAAGATTTTTTTAATCGTGTGAAAAACAAAATCAGTCTATATAAATAAGACGGAAAGGGTAAATAATATATATTTGGCTTTCCGTGAGACCATACGCCAATTATAAACTAATTCCCATGCCTGATAGCGAGATTCACGATCGTAATTTATGGCAAAATGATTATTTTTAGTCAAACTCCACTAAAGATTGTCAATTTCACAACCAAATAATGGAGAGACTTGAAAGGTGGGTGTTTGGATCTTGTTAAGTGCTTTTCTATACTCTTTCAATGCTATTGGACGCTATGAGCGGAAATGTTACAATTTCACTTTCGTCAAGGCATATTATTATTTTGAGTCTTGCTACAAGTACGGGATTTCAAAAATCATGTACTGACCGACACCACACAATAGGGGGTGGGTGAGGGAGTTTTGGCAATATTTTATCCCACATGGGCCCCACCCCACGCGAGATAAAATTCAAATTCATATATAAATTCTGTTATTTTTTTCTGTACTCAGAGGTTTATTCTATTATTTTTCGTCACCCACAAAGTATGATGTATAAAGGGGAGGGGCGGGGATTTTCAAATTACAACAAATTCATATCTTGTAACAACATATATTAGTATCAAACGTCATTTATTTATTTTATTTTATTCAAAGAAGTAAAGAATTCAAGAAAACTCGAAGACTAAGAGCATTTTTCCGAAACTAAAACATAAGTAAATTTTAGCCAAACGTGCTGCCGCCACAGTCAAATCTGCACTCTCGCGTTGAAATACCAAAATCAAGGTCAATGTATGATCAATAACCAACTGAAAATAAGAAAAAAATATTAATCCTATTTTATTTTATTTTATTTTGTAAATCTCACGGAATTGAAAAACTCCAAATCACAGAAGCAGATAACGAACAATCTCTCATCCCCTACTCTACTCGGATCACACATCTTTACATGTAATCATAAATAATTGTAAAGATAGATATTTCATATATTTTGTGAGATGGTGTTTCAAGTATTTCTGAATTCCATTGACTGGGAACATGAATCCTACACAGATGACTTTATTTCAACCACACATTTTCAATAAAATAATATTATACGCTCTCCATCATAATACTATTACAAAATGCATTTCTTGAAAAAAAAAATAAAATAAGGCTCAAACAAGTCCTAAATAAGATTTTTTTAATCGTGTGAAAAATAAAATCAGTCTATATAAATAAGACGGGAAGGGTAAATAATATATATTTGGCTTTCCGCGAGACCATACGCCAATTATAAACTAATTCCCATGCCTGATAGCGAGATTCACGATCGTAATTTATGACAAAATGATTATTTTTAGTCAAACTCCACTAAAGAATTGTCAATTTCACAACCAAATAATGGAGAGACTTGAAAGGTGGGTGTTTGGATCTTGTTAAGTGCTTTTTCTATACTCTTTCAATGCTATTGGACGCTATGAGCGGAAATGTTACAATTTCACTTTCGTCATGGCATATTATTATTTTGAGTTTTGCTACAAGTACAGGATTTCAAAAATCATGTACTGACCGACACCACACAATAGGGGGTGGGTGAGGGAGTTTTGGCAATATTTTATCCCACATGGGCCCCACCCCACGTGAGATAAAATTCAAATTCATATATAAATTCTGTTATTTTTTTCTGTACTCAGAGGTTTATTCTATTATTTTTCGTCACCCACAAAGTATGATGTATAAAGGGGATGGGCGGGGATTTTCAAATTACAACAAATTCATATCTTGTAACAACATATATTAATTTATTTTATTTTATTCAAAGAAGTAAAGAATTCAAGAAAACTCGAAGACTAAGAGCATTTTTCCGAAACTAAAACATAAGTAAATTTTAGCCAAACGTGCTGCCGCCACAGTCAAGACTGCACTCTCGCGTTGAAATACCAAAATCAAGGTCAATGTATGATCAATAACCAACTGAAAATAAGAAAAAAATATTAATCCAATTTTATTTTATTTTATTTTATTTTGTAAATCTCACGGAATTAAAACTCCAAATCACAGAAGCAGATAACGAACAATCTCTCATCCCCTACTCTACTCGGATCACACATCTTTACATGTAATCATAAATAATTGTAAAGATAGATATTTCATACATTTTGTGAGATGGTGTTTCAAGTATTTCTGAATTCCATCGACTGGGAACATGAATCCTACACAGAATATAAAGATCTCATAGCGCTTCCCATTTTTGCCATCTTTTTTCCTACAGTTCGGTTTTTCCTTGACAGATTTGTATTTGAGGTACTTTCTCAGCAAATCTGCCGTTTTTAAATGGGTTTCTTTAATTTATTACTTTTTTTTTTTTCGCATAATTGGATCATTCAGGCAAGCTTAAAGCTTGGTATTTTGATTTTCTTCTGGATTTATATATGTACCGTGATTGATGGGTTTTTTTTTTCTTTTTTTTTGGGTTATTATACGGGTAAGTAGTAGATGTTATTTTACTTGGTGCAAGCTTTCAACTATTTTGGATTTGGTAGTAAAAAGCTAGTTTATAATCTTATGTCAAAGGAGAAAATGGTATAAGAAGCTTTAATGCCGAAGTGCTTGTTGACCATTGAGTCCATTCATAGAAAGCGTTCCTCAGTGTAGCTCAGTCATCCTGCACTTGTACTAGAGTTCTTGCCCATAAAGTAAATCATCTCACTTATGGTCCAACCAATTGGGAGAGAATCTATATATTCCTCTTCTGTGAGCAATTCTTTCTTCCTGAGTGGAGCATACAGCTGTGATTTTTAACATTTTTTTATGAATTGAGGAAATCAGAGAGGAACTAAAGAGTTTGTTTTGAAGCAATGGCATCTCAAAAAGATAGAGCATTTGTGACCACTAGTTGTATTGGTGGTTGTAGTAGAGAATTTCTTATTACTGTATTAAGTCATGGTTTTTCATTTTAGTGATGGATTAACTTACAATTCCCTGGTGTATGCTATTTGGTGATGACATAGTATTAGTAAAACAAGGCTAGGAGGGAGTTAAATCTTAAGTTGAAACTTTGGAAAAGTGTTCTAAAACCTAAAGGTTTTAGGTTAAATAGAACTAAGATGGAATTAATGGAATGTCCTTTATGTAATTGTAGGAATGGGGACAATAGTGGAGTTACTGTAGAGGTTCTAGTTATCCTGAGAGAGTTAATGGTTTAAGTTATAACAAGGTAGGAAGAATTGAAGAGAATGTAATGCATAGAATTTAAACGACTTGAATGAGCAATCTTTAGAAAAATGTGTCAGAAAAGGAGATGTAGATCGAAATTAACAGGACATGTTGTGACTGCAAAGGATCAAGTTGCATAGGATCTTCTAGTACAAGTGCGATGAACTGAATTGAATGGAGAAAAATGATTCTTGTAGCTTTTCCCAAATTTATTTGGAATAATGCTTAGTTTGTTGTTTAACGGATTATTCAACTTAACACTTGAAGATCAAGTATAATACTGTGCAAATCATGTTTTCAATTAAAAGATCCATAAACATGAGATCCGTGGGTAAGAAATAGCAGTTATGCTCCGGTTGCCTTAGACTTCTATTGGTCCATCCGCCATATGCCTCTCCTACCTTTCTTGGTGCTCCATCCCGAAGTCCAGCACGGCTGTCCGATCCATCCACCCCCTGCCCTAGGTGTGCCATCAAAGCGGACTTTCAGAAAGCCCATGATTCTAACAATTGGAATTTCATATTGGATACTATACATTGCTTTCATTTTCCTTCAGATGTCATCCAATGGATCAGGACATGTATCACCACTCCTTTCCCTATTTCCATAAAGGGGGAGCTGAATGGCTTCTTCAGAGGAGCCAAACCAAAGGGCTTAGGCAGGCTGCTGCTTCAGGTTGTCCCCCTACAGCATCTGACTCTAGGGTAATGGTACAAGGAGACTTGAAATGGACACATTCAACATTTTCTTCATTCTTCTATGGGAGATATCCTTGTGGGGAAGTATAGGTCTTTAGCTAGTTTTTTATGACAAGGGACCTGCTGCATTATGCATCCACTTTTTCTTCTGCTTTTGAACATATTCGCTGTTCCTTTAACATCTAATTCATCCTTAGTTTACTGATAATCAGTACTTCTGGTGATCTGCAGCACAGCTTTTTACTGAATGAACTTGTATATCTTCATTTTTGTCATAAAAGGCATTGACGTGATATTTTTTCTTCTTGTTTATTTTTTTCCTTAAATGTGCCATGTCATAGAGTATGAGACGAGAAATGGTTTAAGAGCTTGTTCTGCACTCTAATAGCTATTGTGTTTCAAATTTAATGGGATTGGAATTTGGGACCACTACCTAACTCCACCAAGTTTAAGCTCATAATACAGACACATGCTTTTCTCGTGATATTTGTTTATGATCATACACTTAAATCATTCCTGCTCTCTGCAGCAAGTTGTACTAAGTTAAACTTTACTGATTTTCCCACCCTTCCTTAAAATACTTTTTCTCAATTTAGACTGGGTGTACATGTTGCAGAAATTGGGCAGACGCATAATATTTGGAAAGGGGATGCAAGTGGTTGAAAATGAGACAGCCGAGCGAAGAAAGAAGATACGAAAATTCAAGGAGTCAGCATGGAAATTTGTTTACTTTCTTTCAGCTGAGATCTTAGCACTTCTTGTAACATATAATGAACCTTGGTTCACAAACACAAAATACTTTTGGGTAGGGCCAGGAAATCAGGTCTGGCCTGACCAGAAATACAAGTAAGATTTTAATCCCCTCTTCTCTTGGGTACAATTTAGATATCATCACAGCTTTTCGTTGGGGATAGGAATGATCAGCCTTGAAGCTATAACCTGGTGCAGCATTAACCTTTGCTAGGCTTATGGTCTCAGATAATAAATTTGAAATGCTTGATGCTAATAGTTCTTTAGTTCAGGCAGCCACATTCACTTCCTTAGAAATATAAATTGAACAAAGTTTGATTGGAAAAATTCACAACACTGACTGTCTTGTGATTCTCAGGTTGAAACTGAAAGGCCAGTATATGTATGACGGTGGATTCTACACGTACTCCATATTTGCTCTGATATTTTGGGAAACCAGGCGCTCTGACTTTTGGGCTTCTATGGGTCATCACGTTGCAACTTTCATCCTAATTGTGCTTTCTTATAAATTCAGGTGTGTTTTAGAGGTGAGCCTCTACTGTTAGTTTAAATGCTGAACTTAGTATACTTCTTGAAACTATACTGATTGCAGGAAAAGATCTAAACGAGCATCCTATCAATAGGAAGGGTAACTGATAGAGTAACCTCTTCAAATATTGCACCAGTTGAGATTTGTTTTTGCAAGCTCATGCACCCTGAATGTAGTTTGGGATGACTATTACTATATCCCCCATCATATAACTGAGGTTAATTAGAAAAGGTTTCATTTATGTCCTATTTCTGCTTGTTTTAGGTTTGCCCGTGTTGGTTCAGTTGTTTTAGCTCTTCATGATGCTAGTGATGTATTTCTGGAAGTAGGAAAGATGTCCAAATACGGCGGTGCAGAAACACTGGCTAGCTTTTCATTTGTTCTTTTTGTCTTGTCTTGGGTCCTACTTCGTCTCATTTACTATCCATTCTGGGTCCTCTGGAGCACAAGGTTAGCTTCGGTATTTATTTTATTGAAATTTTTTAGTACCAGTATCTAGATTGTTCTGGGTATAATTTAAATGAAAATCTCGGCTACCTAGATCATGGTGCTCGTATGAAATAAATTACAATTTGCTGCATTAACCTTTTCATAGATGTAATAACTGTTCACTAGCTGTCTTACTGTTCACTACCTTGGAATTATAAGATTTATTCATGCCAAGTTTTTACGTTGTTATATGGTCCATGGATTCTTTATTAACTGCTCACAACCATAGTTGAGTTGAGTTGCTAAATAACTTAATTTTGTTTATGGACTTGGGTGTACGTGTGTTCTGGTTTGGTGAATAAAAGAGAAGAAATTATTTAATGTACTTTGCAAAATGTTTCGTAACATTTCTTGTTACTTTTTCAATTCTTGACTTGAGAGTACATAATAATTAACTTGATCATATGATATGTTGGTTTAGCCCAAATAAAAGGAAAAAAAGGGGGTGGGGGAGAACAGAAAGCTAGCATATTTCTGTGTAGAACATCTTTTATCAACTCTATGAATATTAGTCTCCATGATTTCATTAAGTTCAATTGGCAAGGCAACTGAGTTTGAAAATCTCGAGATTATTTTGCCACCTATACTTTTTAGATGCATAGACATTATAGGCACTACTACACATTCTTGAAATTAATGACTTTAACCAACTAGCTCTTTCTTGATATTTGATGCTAGACCACCCTCTTATGGTTAATGATGCGGATATATTTGCTGTTTGAGATGCATCTACGTTAATCACTGACTGAACGACTAGACCACCCTCTTATGGTTAATCAATTAGTCGTTTTTTTTTTCCCTATCAAAAAAAACGACTAATTGTACACCAGCAGTTACACTATGTATCAGTTAGAGTTATGAGTAATGCTACTTGTACATCATTAAGTACAGATTGATGACATGGAAGAGAAAGAGAGACAAAAAAAGAGGAGGGAAGAAAAGGAAGTTAGTTAGCCTAACAATCATTATTTGAAAACTCTTATTTTCAACCACTCATTCATACAAAATATTTTACACATAAATCTAAATTGTCCCTACTTTTTAACCACACACTCTCCTAAATATCACTGTTCAAAATATTATTTTTCCTAAATAATGGTTGTCAAATAGGGGCTTAATATAATCCACATAATCAATCTATACATCAAGCTACATAATGACGTACAAGTAGCATTACTCTAGAGTTATGGTCTTGTTGATAGAATTTTATAGAATAGTGATACACAAATGCAAGGAAATGTGTGATACAATCTATCCGTATTCGGTACTACATTACCTTTATATTATTCTTTTCTATTTTGTGCTGCTTTTGTAGCTACGAAGTTATCCTGACCTTGGACAAGGAGAAACACAGAGTGGATGGACCAATCTACTATTACATCTTCAATTTTTTTCTTTTCTTCTTGCTTGTTCTCAACATCTACTGGTGGGTGCTGATGTATCGGATGCTTGTCAAACAAATCCAAGCTAGAGGCCGCGTCAGTGACGATGTTCGATCCGGTAAGGAAAATCAAGTAATCCAGACGATATCTAGGGTTTAAATTAATTTAAATCTAGAACACCTACTATATTTTGCACAGATGTATTGTATTCTGCAACCGGTACTAGTATTTGTTTAAATATCCACAAAAGGTGCAAATCATCCTTCATTCTGAAGATGAGAAAAATGCAGCAGCCATTAGTTGTTTTGCTTCAGTTTTGTGATTTCATTATAAAATTTGGCGCTGATCTGCTGGTTATAATAAATGAACTGTCGTTCATGGCCAAGAAGTCGACTTGTTCTTTAATTTTTCACATTTCCTTGTCCCTGTGCAGATTCTGAGGATGAAGATCAGCATGAAGATTGATCATAAAAGCAGATTTTCATCATTGCTTCATTCACTTGATAGTGAGTAACAAATTGTACTAAACCATTTAAAGCAAGTACCGGTGACTTCTTGAAAACACTCAGAGACGTTGCATTTCACTGGACTTACTGGTCGAATGACTAAATAAATCTTTCTTCTCCTCCGTGCAGATGAACGAACAACAAGAACCAATATTCAAGTGATATTTTTTCATGACATGAACATTTTCTTTTGATTCAACAAAACTGTGTAAAACAGGATTTGCTTCGACTAGACCAGTCGAAAAGGTCAGAAGTCGAGAGAGAAGGTTGATTTTTCATTAGGAATGTTTATGCAATTTATCAATCTCTGACCCTTGATGTTTTATTTACTACTGCTATTTTCATCAAGGAAGATTTATTTTTTATAGTTTCTGGTATTCTTAAAAAAGATTTCTTGGAAGATTTATTTCTTTTATATATGTGTGTGTGTATATATATATATAGTTTCATGTCATTAAAGTAGCGTATGGTTAAGCCTTTGTTTGAGCTGCATTCTTTAAAAGTTCATTTTTTTTTAATATATTTTCAATCACATATTTTACCCAATAAAATAATTTTGCACATAAGCTCAAAATTTTCCAAAAAAATCACTATAACAAAACTTATTTTTTTCAAAAAAAATAAAAAAGGGGGGGCTCAAACTATAATGTCAATTCAAGCAAATAAGTCTTAATTAAACACTTCATTATTTTAAAATTGTGATTATTCTTCGGATTAATCTAAAAAATAATGTGTATTTAAAAAAAAAAAAAAAACTGAACTTTACAAAACGAATTTAATTATTGACTTAATTTATTTAAATATGTTATAATTAATTTTGTTAAGTAATTCAAGATTAGTTTTGAAAATTTATTAATTTTCAATTTACCATGATTTGAATAATGATTTATTCAAATTATTTTGCATGATAAATATTTTTTAATTATGTTATTTATAAGATATTATTATTAAATACTTTTTTTTTTCCATGTTAAAACTCTTATGTAATGTTAATTTTATACAATTTGGAAAGTGAAAATAAAAATGGCTCCGTAAATTCCTCCACAAGAAAAAGCTTTATCAAGCTACCTAGATTTCCCGTTGGATCATCGCTCTCAGTCTAGTGCCGCCGCCTACCCTGGCCGTCTGAGACTAATCACCACTGCCGAAACGGTTCGGTTCTAATCCTCAACACTTCCTTCTTTCCATGACAGCTCTTCTTCATCGGCTTTTACAAATTTTTTTCTCACTTTAATTAATGTGTCGCAAAATTAAATATACTGATTTGTGTTATCCAATTCCACAATTTACTTACTTATTCAGGTGTAAAACATATGTACGAATTATAGAATATTTTGTGTTCCAATTAGGATTTCACGAGATAAAAACGTGATGTTTAGGTAGGCATTTATACGGAACAAATAAATTATTTGACCCATCTAAATTTGATTAGCTCTAATAGTTGGCATCTCTGCCCGATTTGCCTATCAATTCTTTTCGGGGGGAAAAAAAACTTGTTAGTTAATTTTGTAAGAAGTCTAATTGTATATCGTTTAATTTTTTTTCCTTGTTTTGCATGTCAGCCTGTTTCTCCATTTATCCTACCGCCTTTCTGAGAAAAAATATTTCTATAGACGTGTTAACTAATCATTGTTTCTTTTTATGATTACTTTGCATTTTAAAAAAAAAAATTTAATTTGTTGTCTTTGTTCCAAGTTCCTATAATGTTGTTTGTTTGTTTTGTTTCCCATTTTTGTGTTTGCGCACTGGCAAGTTTTGCAATTTTCCTGCGTTCCTTAATCGTGCCAATGCTGCTTGCTTGAGGTGTGCATGTAATGCAAAAAACTTATACCATTACGCAGATAACTGAAATATAGATAACATTTGTTAGATCAATGTATTTTAGCTTCTCTGTTGTTTATCCCCATACCATGAAAAAACTTTAGACTGCACCTGGTGGCATGGAATAGGAATTAGACCTCGTTTCAGTCAGTTTTTAACTATATATAGAAGAATTTTGTGTCCATGTACAAATAAAAAGGCTAATACTTAATTCATGAAGTGGACGTTGAACAGAGACTACAAGGTAGTCAGTATATAGAATAATGGGAAGCTTATTGCTTTACAATTGTTTTGAAACCGTCAATTGTATACTTGCTGGTTACTCATCATTTTGCTCACTTGATTTATAGTTTTGGCGTGTCTTAATGTATGTCTGTCTGGAAAACAGAAGAGATAACAAACGGACCCTTTACTACATTGTAACATTGATGTATGTATCTGAATATAAGCTAATAGTTGTCTCTTACCCAATGCTCTAGTACATGAAAAAAGATGACCTCGATTTAAATTTTCTTTTTTTGGCATTCATTTGGCAAATAATGGATGGGTTTATTCAAAACAGTTTTAGATGTTTTATGCATTCCTTAGCAGCTATAATGGACTTTTGCTCATTTAGCAAACAATGATATTTTAACCGTTAACGGGCATTACTTGGAGGATTGTAATTCATTGATGCTCTCGTATTGAAGATATCCATGAACCATAGGTTGACGATCTAATATGCTAACGAGGTGCTTCTTACATATTTGTCAGGGTGTCGGACTGGGATAAAGAAGAGATGGATGACGTGGTAACCAACATTCCGCCGCCGTCAAGATTTATGTTGGAAGATCTTAACAATTTCACTCCTCTTTCTCAACCCCTTCCATCTCCATTCCTGGTGTTCTCTACTCTTGATTCCAGTAAAAGCTTTCATCCGTCACTTCTCATTGTTGCAATGTCTTCCCCGTCTCTTCACTTTTTACACCATCTCTCCTCCAAAACTTTAATTGGCTCACTCATTCTTCCAGAGTTCCCTTTCTCTGGCAACTCCGTGGAACCCTCACTTGGTGACAATTCATGCAATATATATGCCCTTAACCATTCTGATAAACTGATTATGATTGCTCTTGTTCAGTACTCTGTCACTGCAGAGAGATCCCATGCAGTGGCAAAGTTGCTGATTGGTGAGCAGATCATACCCGAGAGGGTTTTGATTTTGGATTCTGTTCAAAGCCGTAACTTTCGTGGTAAACTTTCACCAGATGATGTATTTGCAGTCAAGTTGGAGACATCATTGGAAAGAAGAAGTTCGGATACTGGATATTCACCACTGATAAAAGGTTTGGATTATTTTCCATCAGGAAGTGTGGTGGAGGGCCTAGCCGCTGCTCTGTTGAGTCAATGTCAATTGAAGAAGATAAAGGGGACACTTTTTGTTTCATGGCCTCATTTCGGTGTTTCAGTCATTTCACTGATTAAGTCGCTGTTGCTGAGGGATGTTTTCACTGGCATAAGTACTAGTAGTGATGTTGATTTGGAGAACGAGTATTTAAGGTTTACTCGTAGTAAGGATCGTCTTGATTCTGAGTTGTATACTTGATCTGTTAGTTTTTAGATGTTTTCATAACAGCCTTACCTCTCATCTTTCTTGTTGTCTTCCAATTTTCTATCTTTTATTTTGAGCGAAGCTTGCCTTTGAGCCCTTCATGTATTGTGAGACTGCACTTGTTTCTGTTGCTTATTTTTGTTGCACATTTGTTGCTGCGTTATCTTTGTGGCTTCCATTGAAATCCATTTCTAAAGACCTGCCAATTTCAATTTGGTTCGGAGATGGTTATTATGAAGTATTAATTAGGGGAAGAAATGTAGAGATCGAAGTATCTTTGTATTAGGAAGATGCTTTCTAGTGGTTGAGAGCAATAAAATGCAATATTTTGATGCTATTGAAATTTAACGTTGGAAAACAGCACTTTAGACCTGTGATGCAATTGGTATCGTGTTTTTGAAGATAATGTCTTTTCCAGTTTTAAGAATGAATTTATCAGTGATGTTCTTCATGTTTCTGCTTGATCTTTTCTTGTATAACTGTGTACATCGAGAACTGGCTGAAACTGAAAGATGCAGGTTTGGTGTTGGGAAGCTATTACATGGGAACTAGGTATGCTTGTGTACAGCTTTTTGCAGAATCAGTGTTTGTTTCATTGTTTGACTTTATGCAGTTAATTTCGAATAATGGTGTTTTAAAAACATGATTTGTAGTTTTGAAGTGGTAAAATAATAATCTTGCTACAATGCTGTGCTATGTTGTCAAGAGAATTGATCAACCATCAGATTACCCTCCCTTCGCCCCAAAACCTGTGTCACCTCTCCCACCTACGCCGCCATAGCTTGAGTAGGTGAGTTGTGGCCTAGAGTTGCAGTATCGATGTCACTGGTGTTGGGGTTCAGGTGGTGGCTTATCGAAGTTAGGTGGCGGGTTTTGTGTAAATGATTTTGTAGGCTGTTGGTGATGGTGGTGGACTGGCTGTTGAGGTGGATGGGTAGTAAATTTGTGGGAGTTGCTGGAATTGGCCACTTGTGAAGGTGGCGGCAGCAATGGCTGTATGGGATTGAAAAAAAGTGGTGGCAGTAGTGGATTGGGTGTTGTAGTGGATCTGGTTGTGATTAGAAAGGGTAGGTGGTGGTTGTGGTGGATTGATGGTTGGATATGTGGATATTGATGGTAGAATTTGCAACACTTCCCAGTAGTCGGTTTTGGCCGTTTCATTCGGTTTATTGCTAGATTCGGTAGATCTAAAATAATTCTATTTAGGTCTATTCTTCTCTTCTAACTCGTTTATTGATGTTGGTCACTTCATGAAAATCAGAGTGTAGTTTTGGATTAATGACCGACTGCATACTGAAAATTTGCATTTGCTACTTGTGGTAAAATGCTATGTTGTCTGCTTACTAATCAATCGACCCTTTTTAGTCGTTCCTTTCTGTTCATTGCTGTTAAAAGATCTAAAAGAATCCCCAACTCGTTTCATTGGGATTGTCACTATGAAAAGGAGTCTTCAGTTACAAAAAGGCCTTTGAACATTCAAAAGCATAGTTAGTTTATTAGACAAGACAATGCGTCCAACGAACAAACAACCAACGAACAAACCCTTATTGTTATAAAGCAGTTGAGAAATTTTAGCAAATCTGTTCATACACCAAGTCAGTAAAAAGTTTTTCTTTTCCTGACTTTGGACCCTTATCATACAAGAAACTGAACGAAAAAGGTTTCTTTTATGTTCGATTACTTGAAAGTTGAAAGGGTAAAGCATCGCATTTTTAGAAGGTAGAATCGAAGCATGGTGTTGAACAAGTAGGTGTAACTATTGAGTTCTACGGCGGCAAACTCCTATAAATCCGGAAAAATATGCTATGTCTGCTTCTGATTTTTTGCCCAAATTTTACGTTTGTACAGCAAATTTGTAGTTTCTTTTTTCCTTTTGATTTATTTGGTACTTTTGGTCTGGGAGATTCCACCAACCAAGATCAAAGTAGCTACATCCTCTCTTGACTAATGACATTCTTTGCATAATAATCTTTCATTTCATGTCATTTATATAAACTCATAATCTCCACCATTTTGTCACAAATCCATTCATCAGGTTATCCCAGGCTCTCACATTCGAGTGTTTGATCGTCCCTTTTGTTCAAGAATCGCAAACTCAGAACATTAATGGCGTTTTTTCTTAACTCCAAACATATTGTTTTGCAATGTATGTTACTAGTTCTTAGCATTGCTTGTTCATGCTGGCATGCAAGTGAACCACCTTTGACATTAGATTACTACAAATCTACATGCCCAACTGTTCTTGAGATTGTTAGGAAAGAAATGGAATGTGCGGTGCTGTCTGATCCCCGTAACGCAGCCTTGATTTTACGTCTACATTTCCACGATTGCTTCGTTCAGGTCTTCATTCTCTTAATTTATATCCTAAACCTTTCTTCGAATAGATTGCTATGAATGTGAGTTTTAGAAGATTTAGGATTTTTTTAATGATAATCGGAGCTGCAGGGTTGCGATGGATCGGTTTTGCTGGAAGATACGATCACACTTCAAGGAGAAAAGAAAGCACCAGAAAACATGCATGCTTTAAAAGGATTCAGAATCATCGACAGGATCAAGAACCTGCTCGAATCGGAGTGTCCCGAAACGGTCTCTTGTGCTGATATTCTCACTATTGCAGCAAGAGATGCAGTTCTTCTGGTATAATTACTTAGCATCATTTTATAATTTTGAAAACGAAAACGATAATTCTAAGCAATTTTGGAGATGATCCTATTTTCCTTGTGCATGCAGGTTGGTGGACCTTATTGGGATGTTCCTTTAGGCAGAAAGGACTCAAAAACTGCAGGCTATGAGCTTACAGAAACAAACCTTCCCAAAGCAAATGATGGACTCCTCTCCATCATTTCAAAGTTTATTTATCAGGGTCTCTCAGTCACCGATATGGTAGCTCTCTCTGGTATGCCCCACCTTATAACTCTTAATACATTATTGGCGTGAAACAGGATCGATTTTCTTTTCTAGGAACTGTTATTATCCCTAACATATAGGAAAGATCAAGTAAACTGTTAGACGAGAACGATTCAAGAAATAACATAACGATTTTATATTGAATAGGAGTTTAATTTCAAGAATCATCAAAGTTATATATATTTTGGTGACATGATTTTTTTGCAGGTTCACATACAATTGGAATGGCTCGGTGTGTAAATTTCAGAGAGAGAATATATGGAGATTTCACAGAAACTTCAGGAATGAATCCAGCTTCACAGAATTACCTAAGCAGTTTAAAATCTGTTTGTTCAGCTGATAGAAAATCAGACCAAAATGAATCAGCAATGGACAATGTCACGCCGAATCTGTTCGACAATTCCTACTATCACATTCTGTTAAGAGGAGAGGGACTGATAAATTCAGATCAAGAACTATATTCCAGTGTTTTAGCCGTTCAAACAAGGAAACTCGTCGAAAAGTATGCAGAAAACGCGATTGCTTTCTTCGAGCAGTTCTCCAAATCCATGGTTAAACTGGGAAATATAACAAACCCAGAAACACATGTCAATGGAGAAGTTAGGAAGAATTGCAGGTTTGTGAATACATAAGCATTACACACAAATTTACCAGACTGTTTATTTCAAGAAAGAAATAAATTTGAGCCCTCTATTTGATTTATTTTGTATTCAAAAAGTAAAGATTTTATGTATGAGTTAAGCACATGAATTTTAGCCGTCGTGTAGTGATACTTGTGTTCTTTGGTTTTGTTTTTGCTCGATTCATATTGCAAATCTACGACAATTTCTTCGATTGTAACAAGTGAATTTAGGTGCGAAAAACTGATAGTCACAAGAATGAAATAATATTTGGTGTAACATTCAAGCCCACCTTTACTTTAGTCATGCCAAAATACCAACCAACGGAATATCTTAATGTTTTTCTAAAGTACGAGAAACCTTGACTCAAACATAAATTATTGTTCTCTGTCTAGTCCATATCAATTTCTACCTAGAACCATTTGGGACAAGTCGATTATTTATTGCAATCAAAGGAAAAAGGTAGAGGAACGATGTGTTGAAGGTAAAATTATATATGTTATTTGACTATAGAATTTCGTTTACAAAAAAGAAGAAAAAATGAAATAACGAAGAAGGGATGATTTTCAAAGGTGTAATATCTTTTCATTGATTTTGAGTATTACCAAACCGAATCCATTCGAAAGAACGAAGATGAACTCCTACTATGGCACGCTTTCATGTAAATTTTGTCTTTAGTATATCTTTTATTGGAAATAAATAATCCTATGAAGTTAAAACGAACTTTGTCCATGCCTTTGATTCAAAGGAGGAAAAGGGAATGTCCAATACCTATCCATTTGAAAAGCATCTATATCAAAGTTTATTGACTTTAGGCCATTGGTGGACATTTTCGGTGACAATGTCTCTGAAAGGTTTTAAATTTCTAAACATAGAAGTGATTGTGTTGGACCCTCCAAATAGAATCTCTTTATAGCATTAGTTCTATATCATATTCAATGTGGAAAGCCAATGGCCATTAAATTTTCTTTTTCTACAATTGGGCCCTTCTAATTGTGGCCGTTCTTTTGGATAAAAACAATTGGATAGTGTGACAAGTGGTAATAAAAAAAACTTTAGAACTTTGGAAAAGAGAGAGAGGGGCATTTTACTAAAATTATTAAAGATAGTGACTAGAATCCCCCTTTAAATCTTCAATGTCCAATCATAGCATATATATTCATTGTCCCATATCAATGGAACAATTAAGGATATAAGATGTACATATAAACTTTTCTATACTTGATTGGGGGAGGAAAAAAAGGTGAAAAAAATGATTCCAATAGTGGGTATCACTAATTTCGATAAATTAGAAATCATACCTTATTATGAAAAGAACTCACACACACACACATATAAAGAGATAAATGAGTCAAGTGGGCATGATGGGTGATAAGTGTCGTTTTTATACTTATTCGTGGTGCTAAATCATGATATTTTATTATCTTTTGAATTAAATTCTACATAATTTATGTTAAATTGTATTTTATTGGTAAAATTTTATGTTTAATGAAGAATTGAATAAAAGAATGCAAAATAACGAAAAAATGAAAAAAATCATAGTACGAGGACTAAACTGGCATGGGATGCACAAATAAATTCATTTTAAGGATTAACTTGCATTATATAAAAGTTTTTGGGCTTGGAAAGAAGAATTAATTTAATTTGTGATTGGAATTTATTGGGCCTAAATTTGGGTTTCTAAAAATTGGACTACACATTGACAGCCATATTATATTGTATATATACAAATCAGTAGCTTCAAGGGCAAGATGAGATATACAGGTACACGCATTGGAGAAAGTGGTTGCAAGTTGGGCATAAAACATATATACACACAGGAGAAGACAAAAGCCAATTGAGAAAAAGAAAGAGGAGAAGAAAAAGTTAACTATAGTGGCTGGAAGAAAAGAGA